GGGGACGCTGCCGGTAGTTGCCGTTGATCTCTTGGGAGATGGTGACGGCCTCGGCGCCCAGCGGCAGCTTGTCACTGTACTCAGAACGAACCTCGAACTCCTCGCCATTGGCTTTGGATTGCGACTCCGCCATGGAGCTGGCCGCCACGCTCTCCTCTCGCTCCAACTCTGAAGCCCCTTCGGCTTCTCTCCTCCTCCTCCTCTGCCTGCCTCATTCATCATTGTCCTCCTCATCCTCATCTTCTTCGTCCACATCTGCTTCCCCCACCTCACTGGGATTGTAGTTCTTCTCGGACTCCAGGTAGGAGGCACGGGGGTCGAAGTCAGCAGCCATGTGCTTCTCCATCTGGTCTGGGTTCTGGGCCTTCATGATGAGCTTGTAAGTCTTCCCTTGGTACTTGGAGAGGAGGTGGCACCACGTGGCCCCCATCAGGGGTAAGGTGGCCAGCACCAACAAGAAAATGCTCACAACCACAATGATGATGAGCGAGGGAATCTCTTTTTTGGTTGTGAAGACCACTTGGACCTGACAGTCCTCCCCCGGGTAGGTGAGACACACAGAGTAGTTGGTGCCGGGGTTCAAGCCCTGGAACCAGTACGAGTTCACCCCTTCCTCAATCTTGGACCACTGGACTAAGGCGTGGCCCTGGCCGCTCTCCTGGCACAGGTAGAGCATCCTGAGGTGGACCTTCTCGGGCTGCATGTAGGTGGGCGTGAGCTGCACCCGGGCATCACGCTCTGACACATCTAAGGCAATCACCCCCAGGTCAAACGTGTGTTGCTTGAAGTCCCCACTCTTGTTGAAGGCGTGGTTGGAAATGTACTTGCTGGTTTGTGTGGAGCCACACTTCTTCTCAAAGGGAGGGAGCTGGAAAGGGACTTGCCTATCTCCCGTGGACTCTGTCCCAGCTGCTGAGGATGGTTGGCTCTGCCGGGTGGGACTGAGGGGTTTGTTCCTCTCATCTGGCATGAGCACACTATTCTTCGCTCCCTTGGCCCCAGGTTTCTTGTCACCAGGCTGTGCTTTACCCCCCAGAGGGTCCCTCCCGGGCTGCAGTGGGTATTTCTGGGTGCCTGCCACAGCCACGTTCACTGAGGTCTGGTTGCTCCCCATTTCGTTGTTGGCCAGGCAGGTGTAGGTGCCTTCTTCCCGCTTGCTCAGGTGGGGAATCATCAGTGTGCCATTCTTGAACACCAAGAAGCGCTCAGGGTCCTGTTTGGGGAGGTCCTTCCCAGCGCTCTCCTTGGGGTTCCCACTGAGCTCCAGGGTTTGGCTAGCGGTGCGGATCTTCCAGCTCACTTCGGGTGGTGGGGTGCCTGTCACAGCACAGTGCAGTGTCAGGGTGAAGCCATCAAAGAGCTCCGTGGTACCCAGGTTGGGGTAATAGGTGAGCTGCACGGTAGGTGAAGTGCACTGCACGTCTGGGATCTTCCCCACTGGCACTCCTCGGAGCTGCTCCGGGAGGTCACAAGTGATGGAGTCCTTCTCGGGGATGGAGATGAGTGTGCTGTCCATCCACTTCTTCAACCATTGGAGCTTGCAGGAGCAGTCAAAGGGGTTGTTGTAGATCTGCAGGTGGGAGAGGGAACTAAGTGAGTCGAAGATACCCTCTGCAAGGGTGGTGAACTTGTTGTTGTTGATGCGTAGGGACCGAAGGTCCTTCAGGGTGTGGAAAGCTCCCTGAGGCACCAGGGCCATGTGGTTATTGTTCATCTTGAGCAGCTGGAGAGCGCTGAGGTTGTAGAGGTCCTGCCAAGGGAAGTCCACGATCTGGTTGTGGCTGACGTCAAGGTTTTTCAGCTGCACCAGGATGGCGAAGGTCCCAGGCTCGATGGAGCGGATCTCGTTGTGTGCCAACCAGAGGGAGGTGACCTGGGTCACCTCCACGAAGGAACGTCTCTGCAGTGAAGTGATCTTGTTGGCTGAGAGGCTGAGGGTGGTCACATTGGAGGGCAAGCCCGTGGGCACCACTTGCAGATCTTTGTAGGCGCAGTCGGCAAACTGGTGGGCATACTTGTCCACGCAGGCACAGGGCTCGGGGCACGCCCGGGCCAAGCCGAGCAGGGCCACCAGCCCCAGGGGCAACAGCGGGGCCATCTCCTCCTGACAAAGGACACAGGGGGCTCTCAGGGCTCCTGCTCCCAGTCCCCCATTGTCTGTGTCCAGCTCCCCCCGCGCCCCTCGCTCCTTCTCATCCCCTCTTTCCCCTT